CAACAAATAAACATAACAACACACAAAAAACAAACATAAACAGCATGTAAAACAAACAAAGTGATCGTTACAATCACTGAATCTAATCCTAGGATCATAAAAATACCTTCTTCAAAAGCTCTGGACACAAACATCCTGTTTAACCAATGCTTTTTGTCACATCCATTTGATTACTGTTGTTATTTCCATCTGACTACAGGTTTGTTCGTGATGAAAAATGAGACTACATGTCAACCATATTACTCAAACTTACTTATTCTAAGGGCCAAACCTGATGTGGTCCTTTAAGAAAGGTTAAATAACCCATTTCTCCAGCCCGGCCTACAGTATAAGTGGTTGAAGAGCGCAGTATCAGCTCTAGGTGGCGCTCCCGACCACTCAACCACTAATGTCATAACATTACACGCAGTCGTCATCACTGACTGCCACGAGTAAACGGACCGCAGCACCACATTGACGGGGTAAAAAAAAAAAGTATTCTTCCGCACCGAAAATATGCCATCTCAACAAAATAATCTCTTCGTGTCATGACATTTACGGCGTTTTTTTTTTTAGTTTTTTTTTAATTTATAGCAAGTGGCATACGGCATAAGTTAATGCTCAAACCGAAAGCGACGCTACGTGTAGTTATTTAACGTCAATCAGCCAGCGAAGACAGCCTTGACGTTAGCTAACAAGCCCCTAACGTTAGCCCTTTATAGTCAACGACAGAAGAGAACAAGCTCACTAACAACTACCAAATAAAAACCAGGATAAACAGCGCCTAACGCCAGCTACACCGCGAAGACATAACTCAGCCATTACCCATGGTGTCCAATGAACACTGGCATATCAGGCGGGAGAGAAGAAGAAGAAGTCCTCTAGTCCAAACAACCGTTAGTGGACGTTGGTGGTAAACTCCCGTAAACCAGTCCGCGCTTCTTTCCGCCAACCTCTGGGATATGTCAGTGTAACCCTCCGCCTGCGGTAGATGTGCTGAGGCTGGAGTAGCCACCATTTTGCATGTCTAGTGTGTTCCTCCCTCCTTTGCTAATAGAGACGATTCCAGTCATTTTCTGGCATCATAACGGCTCGTAAGTATACCCCAGGGGTAATATGTCGGCGGTAAATGTGTGGGAATTTCTTTACGCGTGGGTAGCGATGCGTGGTCCGTGTGTATCCACGCTGACAGCTCCCACTGTGGCGCTGTATAGGAAGTCTCAGTGCGCCGGGGTTGTGCCTGTCAGCAGCTAACGGAGCTAACTGAGCTAGCGCGGTTAGCCTAGCCCTTTAGCTGCTAACTACCTGCCGGGCTAGGGATGTGAAGCTCAGCAGCACATTCATACTGTGCGGCTGTCCATCGGGGGCAGAATCATCGTGACAACGCGTAATGCTAAAATAGGTGTTTTTTTATTTATATATATATATATATATCGCTCTAGGTTCGCGGACGTGTTCGGTATTTGTGCTTTAGGTGAGGCGGCGCTCGGACTAGGTGACAGAAAGTAACGAGTGGTCAGGTAGCTAGCTAACGCCACAGAGGTCTCGCTGGCTTGATAATCCAAACGCTTCGAGAAGGCCTGAACTGCATCATGTCCTGATCAATCGGCGACCACATTCAGGTGTCATGCCCAGCCTTTAATGGCCTCTGGTTTCACTTCGACAGCGCTGTCTGGTGCTGTTGGGTTGAACCTTTAGTTTAACGCCGTAATGTCAGCCAAGGTGAAGCTGCTGCTGTGCTGTCAACCTAACGTGTTGTCCTTTCACTGAAATATTACTGTGTGCCAGGGGTAGCTTGTTGTTAGCTCACTTTGTGCTAGGTGTAATTGGCGTTAGCTGAGTTAACGTTGAGCGTTTCGCGTTTGTCTCAACGCTTCGTGATACTGTCAGACCTCCTCAGCCTTAAAACAAAGTGTAAACATTTCAGCAATACGTCAACGTTGCATTTGGGTATCCAGGAAGCTAACGATAGCTAGCTTAGTGTGTTAAGGACGTGGACTCCTTTTTTTTTTTTTTTTTACTCCAGTTTCACGAGTAAGTTACTCGGTGTTGACAACGTCTTAATTAAGACGGTAACGTTACGCCCTTTTTAATAATGCATTTATTACGTATATGTGATGTGACTGAGAGCCGCTTTTCAAGTTTTGGGTTAAAGTTAAGGAAGTCAGCTGTTAGTAGGAAGTAGATAAATGATAGCGGTATGGGTGATTCCTGGACATCTCTGGCACATACCTTTTGATAAGTGTGGAAGATTTAACAAGTGCCCTTTCCGAAACATCATCTAGCTCCTGCGTAACAACCACCGTTTCCCTGCCTACAACAGTACCTGTGGTGGAGATGCATCAAGAATTGAACCGAATTCAAATCCGTCCTTTGATGTTAAATGCAATAACGTGGTGACTGCATTATGCTGTGCCTGAAACAAGACAGCTATGGCCTAAATTAAAACCACTTTAGCTCAGCTGACAGTGATGTAGTGACTAACTGTGTGCCATGACACTTAAGACGAGGATTGAGTCGATGCATTAGGTAGAGCTTTATTTTACAGTCGGGTTAGCGGATATTAATCACTCAGTATTGAAGCACATTCATTCTAGGCGTTGTCACAGCTCTCCCATACATTGTGAATCTAATTGTTCTTTAGTTTGCCAAATAGCCCGTCACACTGTATGATAGGCATTGCCACGGTCTTGGTTACACATTTGATTTGGACAGTAGCTGTTAATCTCACAGATTTTGCTTCTTCTTTTTTGTTACTCCCTCCCAGTAACATCAGCCCTGTATAGTGAGTGATTTAGGAAGTACTGTAGGAGGTAGGTAGAGTGCAAAACTAACTCTTTTGTCCACCGGCCAAATGGTTAGTGGAGGTTCACGTGTTACCAGCCGCTCAGTAGATCACCATTGTTTTTGTGGTTGGTGAGTGAAGCCAATCTACCAGCCACTTGTATATTATACCTGATGTTGACCCTGGAGATGGCATTAGTAGTTGTTTTTGAGCATTGATGTTGTTTACTGTGCTAGTTTGCCTAACGCAGCGGAATAAATAACTATTTGTGCAGGTAAACTGAACCTATAGCTAGGAAACAAAAACTAGTGCTTGGAGTAGAGAAAGGATAAAGATGGATCCTATTTCTTCTTTGGAACAACATGATGCTGCCATTTGTTGTTTGAGATCTGCTGAGCAACTGCAGGGCCGCTACAGGTTCAGCTATTACTTCACACGATTGCCACATAGTTAAGAGTTTAGCTCAGTAATGGCTCTCAACTGTGTCTACTGACCACCAGGCTTTACACATATACTTCAAGTAATTTCACATAGCCTACGTTTAACAGTGTTTCTGACGGATTGAGAATTTATGTGGTTGGAGGAGGATTGTGGAGTGACTGCAAACAGTGTTGCGTTCATGTTAAGTTCTGTTTGCACATCAATGTAACAGTCTGACTTTTTGATCAGTCATTCTGTACTCTACAAAGAGAAGAAAGGATCATCAGTTCATGTGAAACACTGGTCAGAATATGTTTTTACTATAGAATACATTTCATTTCTTCGACTAAGGTGCAGGAACCAACATTGAACTGTGCATATAGGAAGCAGGGTGCACATGGAAGACATGTATAAAGCCTGTTTGGTCCTCCTCGTATATTTATGTAGAAATGTCAATTATTTATTGCTGTGCACAACTGATGACTTAGAGTTGGTGATATTGGAAGGAATTGAGTGATCTGCTTTGATAGTATTTCATTTATAACATCTGAGAGCATAGCTGAGCACAGAGAGAAGATAAAGAGACAAAGTGCAGGTTACAGCAGACTGGCAAATTGAGTAGGGGAAATGTTTCTCCCCAGTGACGTCTCTGCATATTCTTCTGGCAGCTGTCTAATGATCTTTTTGTCTAGTGCAACTGTGCATCTCTCTCTGAGCGAAGAAGCTCGTTGTGGACATTACATCTGTGCTTTCAATTTTTTACTATGAAGTCCTGATGGTGTTCAGTAATCTAATGTAAAACCACTGTGTTCTGTCTCTTAATGCTCCGAGTGTAATGTCTCGGTCTCTGCAGGTCGTTCCCTGTGGTAAAAGGGAGGTGTGGCGTGCTTTCTGCTTGTTGCTGGTTGTCAGGCTCTGAAAGCTAATCTAGGCTGGCTCTCCAAATCTCATGAGAGGAAAAGCTTGTTATGAACATTTAGAAGTACATGCAAAGTACACTCATATAGGAATGAGGTGTTGATATTGCACAATCTGACCCATATTGTTAGTCAGGTTGTTAATAGCTTGAAGACATGTAGAGGACTGAGGGCTGGTCATTCTGAGGCACCTTGCTAAAAATGAGATGCATGTAAAACTGTGGTTTTGTCAAGGTATGATGCACCTGTGATCCGCTCGTTCCTCTTGTGACACACTTTGGGTTTTTCAGGTTTAGTTGTTTCTTTCTTTCTTCTTTCTATTCAGCCATTTGGCGCAGGGCGTGGACCTGCACCGCCACACACACCTACACCTGGGCCACATATCCACAAGTACACTGAGACCATTTGTCAGACAAACTTTCTATGGGCTGTGGTGACTTGTCTTGGTGATCGCCACCTTAATCTGTAATAGGGCTATACATAAGAACAGTTCCCTGTTTGTCTTTGTAGTAAGGTTGAGTAAAGCTGACCTTGGTGAGTCAACCTGAGGCTGTTGTCGCCTAACTATTGAATAAGCTCAAGGCTTCACATTTTGTGATTTAAAGTGCTCAACTCCTCCTTTTAAGTTTTGTTTTTTTTATACAAAAGACACCGTTCCACCTCCCAGAAATAGTTGGAGTAATAAAAAGCAATGGCAATTATGGATAATAAGAAATATGTTGTTTTGATTTTAGAAGAATGTGCCGTTGTAATGCAACAAATGAAGAAGTGTAATTTAATCCGCTCCCAGCAGTGGTTGGATTTACCTTCTTTAATGTGTGCACGTTTGATTATAAGCACAGCAAGAGGCAGGGATTCATGATTCATGGAGCCCAACACAGGGTCCATTCAGCTCAGGAAATTTAACTGGTGTTAAGACAGACTGTAGATCTCTGGCTTTATTAAAGTGTGGCCTTGCCCGACCACCCCCCCGCCCCACTCCTCTTTGATCACAGCAAATTCCTAGATTCTCTACAAACCACCACCTTATGCAACAAAGGATGCCCTCGTTCCCACTTTGTGTGGATCCTTATTTTCCAGTAGACTGGCATAGTGTCAAAGAATTTCATTTGATCTCGTCAGCAATCCTTAGTGATAAGGAAAATGAGGGAGTTGTTCCTCTGTGGCCATTCAGAGAAATATATTGCAGCCTCCACAGTATACAGGTTTAAAAGGAAGCGTCAGGGGCAACCAGGTGACTCCATGAATGTTGGGTTCATTTAAAGCTCATTCTTCACTGTCACCTTAATGTATAAATGTTGGGGTTGGTGTCATGTGGGAACAGGAGCTGGAGTTGAATTTCCATGTGAGGTGCTCAGGTAATTAGCCAGCTAAGTACCTAGTGCGATTCCCTCAAGTCTTATGGCTGGGCTCTGGTGACAACAGTAGCAGCGACATTACTGGAACCCAAATTACTGCAAAAGACAAATGCTCACCACGCCGTTTTCTGTGTAAGCGTTTCAGTTTCACAGAGCTGTGTTTGGTCACTGCACATAGTGTCATATAGTGTTTGACAAAGTGCGTATCAATGCAGTCTCACATTTCGAAAAACTACATTGTTCATGAGAGAAGTTGTCACATATATACGATACTAGGTTATCACATATACGATTTTTCGGGTCTCTGTTCTGTCACAATGCCTTTTTATATTCTTGTCTACCAAAATGGATTTGCTCGACAAGTAATTACTACCGTTTCTGTTGCTGTAGCAGTTAATTATGCACTGCATGCTGCCAGATGAAAGGCTTTATAAGATGGGAGACAAAATGTACCTCTTTCTAAGTAGAGGGGTCAACATTATTCATTTTCCAGTTTTAGAATGGAAATTGAATTGTATAATTCTGTAGGAATGTGTGCCAAACGCCTGAGAATCTGCATGTCAACATTTACATTCACAGGTAACAAATTCCAAACTTGGATTTAGATTTTTGGGTTGCATTTATTTAGTAAGAAATCAGCCATGTGGAAACTCATTTTATGATACCTTGATCATATAGAACAGTTGAATTATATTGTAAGAAACGAGCCATGGCACAGCGCTACAGAGATTGTTCAGAAAAAGCCTTAAATGAATCTTCTTTCTGCTTGTTACTGGCAATTTAAAAATATCAACCACACGTTTATAATGTTCTGTCTCGATGGGCAACATTCTCTTAAGTTTCTCTTATTTTTATGTTAAGACAAGAAAATAAGAGTCAGAGTCAACTCCAGATGCACCAACCATTGTTAACAGTCACGGCGACGAGGCCTGAGGGCGGTTATTTGTTTGTTGTTACCATAGATAACCCGCTAACCACTATACAAAGGGCAGGTGTGCTGTGTGGAAATATTGGCACATGGCCAAGGATGGCAGCGATCCATAGATGGATGAATGCAAATTGTTTGTGTTACAGCCGCAGGTTATCCAGGGATTGCACAGCACCCCAAGTTGATGCTCCAGAGTGTTGCACAAATCTAAAAGCAGTTCTCTTGGCAATCTGAAGAAGCTCAGCAGCGAATCATCCTCTTCATCAAATAGATCTGTCCCATCTGAAAACTGTGCATGAGGCCTAAGTGGCCACAGCATTCAGAAGCTGGACTTTATCATCAATATCATCCAAGGGTTTTTTATGGTTTTAATTGGGATCAATGGATCAGTAGTATTTATTTTGCCCACAAATGTAATAATCCAATCATAATTCCTCTAAGACATATAATCTAAACTTGATTATATGACATTCGTTTGTTTCTATCTTGCTTTCTGCGTGAGGCCCATTGTTCCCCACCTCTCATAATATAGTTATATATTAGGGTTAGGGTTATATAGTTTGTTAAAAGTTGGTAGGCTACTGAAGCGATAGGAAAAAAGCCCACCTTCCCCTGCTCCATTAAAGAGTTAATCTTCTGTGAGAAACAAGCTTCTTAGATATGACTTGAGAATATAACGAAATCATGAAACCTGCCTAATATGCTGCCTGCTTTGAAGAAGTAAGCATAGTGTCTGTTTGACCTGTAGTTTTGTAAATGGTCATTTCTCAGGTCTTTGGTACATATAAACACAAGAGAATTTATTCTCACAACGGAGCATGTGCTTATAAATATTTAAAGCTCTTCCTGTGGCTTAAAGCGTGTGTGCTCTCAGAAACTTCCACACGAGGGAAGTGAGTTCCTTTCCCTCTGCACGTCTAATACTAGAATGCAGCTCGAAATGTAACAGTGTTTGCTTCCTTAAACCAAATATTCATCATATTCTTCTTGGTTTATCGCCACAAAATACACAAGAGAATGTGTTTACATCCGCTGCAATGATTTTGTAACTGTAAAACTTGCATTTAAGTGCAGCTGGTCAGCCATCAAATGTCTTACCTGCGCGCTACCATATTCTTGAACCATTGCACCGTGTAACCGATATAGTTTAGGCATGTAAGTGATCCAAAACGCTCAAAAGTTATGTTTTTCCTCATATTTTTTTCATTAGAAGTGTAGTTTTTTTGTTTTGATGTGGTCTAGTCTGGTGCTAACCTGTTTGTTTTCTTCATGTTTTCCAGAGAATGCCAGCTCCGATCAGACTGCGGGAGCTGATCCGGACTATCCGGACAGCACGGACCCAGGCAGAGGAGCGTGAGATGATCCAGAAAGAGTGTGCTGCTATCCGCTCGTCCTTTAGAGAGGAAGATAACACATACCGTTGCAGAAATGTGGCAAAGCTACTTTATATGCACATGTTGGGCTACCCGGCACACTTTGGGCAGGTATGTTTGGGGATGGGAGGAATGACTAGACGAGGCTTTTTGGATTTTCAGTGACCAATGTCATTATTGTTACAAAGCCTATACCCTTAGACTGTTTTGTGACATGCTGACTTGTCTTTCAGCTGGAGTGCCTGAAGCTGATTGCGTCCCAGAAGTTCACTGACAAACGAATAGGTTATTTGGGAGCTATGCTGCTGTTGGACGAGAGGCAGGACGTCCACCTACTAATGACAAATTGCATTAAGAAGTAAGTGGAGGCAAGATCCTAAGTGAATTGCTTTAAAGCTTCTTTTTTTTTTTTTTTTTTGCAATCCGCATGTACAGTAATTTGTTTTTGATGAAAGATTGAATAACAATTTTTTAGAAAAAAAATTATGTTTTGTGCTCATTCAACTCCGTTCTTCCATCACAGTGACCTGAATCACAGCACACAATACGTCCAGGGCCTGGCCTTGTGCACTTTGGGCTGCATGGGTTCCTCAGAAATGTGTCGTGATCTGGCTGGGGAGGTAGAGAAGCTGCTCAAAACATCCAATTCCTACTTGAGGAAAAAAGTAAGCCTCATCGTTGTCATGTTTGTATGTATGCTTGAAGGGTCTAAAATCTGTAGTTACATATAGTTACACTACATTCATAAATGAAAATGTATGCATGTCTGTTGAACAGTTTCACCTGACACTTGAAAGTCAAATATTGTACGAAGTGCTTGACTGTTTCTTCATAAAGTGTCTTCTGTGTTGACAGGCGGCGTTATGTGCAGTTCATGTCATCAGGAAGGTTCCAGAACTTATGGAAATGTTCCTTCCAGCAACAAAAAACCTGCTGAGCGAGAAGAACCATGGTAAGTGTAAACGGTTTATCAGGATGCAGTTGCTGGCTTGCGGGGAAGTGCGCAGACTTTGTCCTATTTCCTTTCACTCACTTTGCTCAGAACAGCTGGGCAGCTAATGTCCTTTTTGTGTTGTCCTTCGCAGAGGAGAGTGGAATTAATGAGTCTGTCATAAACTCCGGGGCATGTGCGTCCCCCACATAGGGGAGACATGTCACAGGAAAAGATTTTTTTTTGTAACGATGCTGAAATAACTTGAACTTTTTTGACATTGTGTGACCATGCAATAATGAGAGCTTCAGATAAGACAGTTTAAAAATGCATTCATCTTTTGCTTTTTTTATTGTCAGGAATTGCTCATGCAAACTGTGAAATAATTATCAAAAATTGAAAGAAGTCTTGGATTTGACATTATACATATAGTAACAAAAAAAATCTACTCTTTTATAATGTACATTCAGTTTTAGTTCTCTTCTTTAGAATTGATTACTTATAAAAAATGTAAGGTCAAAAAGCCACTACAAATTTTAAACATGTTAAAATTAGGGCAGCACAATTAGTCAAATATTAATCGCAATCACGATTTCGACTCACCACTATGCTTTCCACTGCTGTCACTCAGATGATGAGTTTTCAACCTTGTAACATTCAGATCAGGTCACTAGGAAATGATTAGCCTCTGTGATAATCTTACAGATTTATGAAGCTGTCACCTGATGTCCTCTGCAGTTAATCATATGTATGCTAGTACATCATATTTTTTGACATCTGACTTGGGCCTCTGTGTAATTGGTCAGCCTGGATACTGGCACAAAGAACTACAAGTGCAAAGCCTGCAAATTGGTACATGTCTCGTAATGTATGTAAACCATATTTAATAGCAGCTTGGCAGATGTTTAACTCTCGTCTGTCATTTATATTGCACATGACATGAAAGCCAAATGCTTAAATAGTTCTTAAGTCTGTGTTCAGACCGACATAAGCCCGGTGAGGCAGTAACACAGCATGTTCAGTCATTTCAGTGAGACCACTTAGTGCAGCAGGGTAGTGCTAGGCGCCATACCCAAAGAATTCTATCATAGTATGTCTTTTAAGATTATGGCATATCACTTTTTTTTGCATGGCTGAGCCTTTATATAACTTAATAGTTATTCTACTGTGCCGAATATGTATAGTGCAAAACTGCAAGATAGTAAATCACTTAAAAATAAAAATAAAAAAGTTATGCCAACAACTTTAACATTGCTTCCTTTTCAAAACTAAATATTTAGTCTATAAACACTATTGTTGTCAAATGTTCTATTGCAAATGTAGGAACCAATTCAGTTACACTAGTTGTTTCAGCTATGTACTGGAATGGTGGTACAGAGGAAACAAATCTCATCATAAATAGGAAATTAAAACTGGTATACTGGCTCGTCTGGTATATATTGCCCAGCACTATTACAGGTTTGCAAAAGAGACTGCTTTATGTGAAAGAATAATTCTACTGTCTACCACACAAACCTTGGTACAGAGGATACAATAATTGCTGTGCTGATAACTTCCAGAGTTGTAAAATCTCTGCAGTGTTTTGGCCATAATAAACCTTCAGACTTGTGTATCTATTACTTGGAAAAGGCTCCTGAATTCTTTTTTTTATTGGTACTTAAAACAGTTGGACCCACCAGCGTAGTTACTTGCGTTTTTAGGACTGAATACCAAGTAACAAATGGGTGATGTAGAGAAAAAAACGATATTCACTATAAATAAATAACCTTTGCTTTGTTTACTCCCCCAGGTGTTCTCCATACATCAGTTGTCCTCCTCACTGAGATGTGTGAAAGAAGTCCTGACATGCTGGCCCACTTCAGAAAGGTACAAGCAGATTCTCTTACCCTAAGGACCTTAAAGTGATTTACTTATACATTTGTCTTAAGCTCACGTCACATTTCATTCTCCTTTTGCGCACACATTTACTTTTGGTATAGCTAAGCTAGACGAACATGTTTAAACTTTTGAGCCTTGGATAGCGCTACAGGTTTTGTTCTACATTCAAAGTATGTCTCAATCCTTTATCTCCTACCACTGTCTTTTCCTCTTGTATTTCAACTGCTGCTGTACCTCTCCTCCTCTAGGTGTAACAAAACTGTGCCAGAAGCACCACCCCTCATGCTCATGATCTAAACATTATTTTAAGCTCTCTGAAAGTGAATGATTTCCAGTTTCCCCTCCCTAACATCTACCTCATATTTTTTCTGTCATTTGTCTTTGTTACAATTCCTGCATTGTGTTAGAATGAGAAGGTAAGAGTACATTCTGATCTCATAGCTGGTGCATGCTGTAAATAGTAATCACTCCTCACAGTCACCTCAGACGTAACCAAATTTGTGTTGAGTAATGTCATATTGTGCTTTAATTTATAATTTTAATTTCTTTAACTTGTACAGTGATCATTACTATGTCAGTGTTTTTGAATATTCACTAAAAGAACTTTTGGTCCATTTGTCAGATACATTTCTCACAATTTTTGTTTTGAGCGTCATTACTTACCTAATATGCAACTCATTTGATCACTGTCTATTTTAAAACAGTTGGGTTGGGTGTGTTTTCACGTGGTTGCCACAGGTGTTGTCACCAGGGACAGATGATTTCCACTTATCTTATTTGAAATATCAGTGGATGTCTTAGGTCTGTATAATTGTGAAGAGGTGGTTTTCTGTAATGAGCAACAGAGTTTGGCAAACGTAGTACTAGGATGTCATGTTAAGATAGAGGAGTCCAAAGGTTTGGATTAATTTTGAATTTTTTAACCCTCACTCTAGCATTTTGGGTTGCTTGTTTGTCGTATAATATGCATATTATAGTAAAAGATTGAGATCAGTTTCATCTGTCAAGTGATCTGGTGTGGAACATGTTCATGTTGTCTGGCATACCAGAAAGACTGGAAGTAGGCCGAAACAAAAAGTCAAAAAAGTAGGCCTTCATAACAATTTACAGTGTGTTTTACTTTTTTGGCTACATTTTTAGTGGGTAAGGTAGAGAATTTCCAGTACCCTGCTGCCAGTCTGTAGGCTAAATACATCGTCTGTACTGGGCACAAAGAGATGAAAAAGATTTCCAATCTTCTAATTTAATGCTGGACAACACAGCAAACTGTTTCCCAAAATGACTTGATAACCTGCTTTACAAGGCAGTGAGAGATCGAAATTATGTAGATTAGAAAATTAATTATTGTGACGAGAAGTTTCCTTAAATATCTTAAATATAGTGACATTTTGTGTTGGCATTGAATTCAACTCTAATTTTAAATATATATATGTTTATTTTGCCATGTTTAGAAGTGTGTATGCACATGTTCTTATTCTCTTAAAGCCAAATGTTCTAACCAAATATATTTTGTTCAATCAAGGTTTTGATTGTACAACCTCAAAAATCTGACTTCAATCATGTTACGCTACCTCAAACAAAAATCCAAATAAGTTTGGCTGACTACCACTGTTAATGAGAAATGATTAGCTTTAAAAGTTAATGAGGAACAATGTTATAGAAATGTTAAAGAGGAAAAGTAGAATATTTGTGAGGTCTACAAAAAATATTGTGAAACCTCTTTTTCTGTTCTGTTGTTGGTCTTATTGTAGCTGGTCCCACAGTTGGTGAGAATCCTGAAGAACCTAATCATGTCTGGATACTCTCCTGAGCATGATGTGTCAGGCATAAGCGACCCTTTCCTGCAGGTAAATCCCCTCTTTCTTAAGACAAGAACCTACACTGTAAGTGCATATTTAGATCTGGCCTGATCCTTGAGATGTGGGCACAGCATCAACTGTGAAATGGAAATATATAAATTATAATATTTAAAGCTGCTGTGTAATAAAAAGTGCTAAAAAATGTCCTAATCTTGGTGTGGATGCATTTTTCACACTTCACTAAAGCAGGCTAAGTTTAGCTAGTAGAAAATGAGCCAAACTGCCTACAGAACAACAGCAAGGAAAAGAGAAACCAGAATTTACTCGCAAATTGATACAGTACATCACACTTGGCAAGTGAACTGACAGGACTGGACTTTTTTTTTTTTAGGTGCGGATATTGAGACTACTGCGAATTTTAGGAAAGAGTGACGATGACTCCAGTGAAGCAATGAACGACATTCTTGCGCAGGTTAGAATTAAACATAACCATTGCTTGTGGCCAAAAGCTTATTTGAGTGAGTGTTATTTTTCTAAATGAATGGTAATTGTACTTACAGGTTGCAACGAACACAGAGACAAGTAAAAATGTAGGAAATGCAATTCTGTACGAGACTGTGCTGACAATAATGGACATCAAGTCTGAAAGTGGACTGAGGGTGAGTTGATTTAATATAAAGGAAAACTCAATGTAAACATTTTTTTTCCTTGCCTAAATGCCTTTTATCTTACAGGTCTTGGCCATCAACATACTAGGTCGCTTCCTTCTTAACAATGACAAAAATATAAGGTAATAAATTGAATTACTGTACTTGACCTTGCATGCATCTTCTTGTTCTTCTTTTTAATTGAGTCATACAAAATATTGTTAAGTCCTGATGACATCTTTTAAATAAACTCACCATTCCAGATACGTGGCATTGACATCTCTACTAAAGACGGTACAGACAGACCACAATGCAGTGCAGAGGCATCGGAGCACCATTGTGGATTGTTTAAAAGACCTGGATGTGTCCATCAAGAGGTGATTCACAGAACTTGAAGTGCACAGATCACTTCAACGAGACTTTTTATGTCTCTTACTATTTGGCCTTGTTGTTCCTGACCTTTTACTTTTCATTGTTGTGTAGACGTGCAATGGAACTGAGCTTCGCCCTGGTGAACGGCAACAACATTAGAGGCATGATGAAAGAGTTGCTCTACTTCCTGGACTCCTGTGACCCAGAATTCAAAGCAGACTGTGCATCAGGAGTCTTTCTAGCCGCAGAGAAGTATGCCACTAACACACAGACTTCACTCACATTACATCTGTGCTGCTTTGTAATAATTTGGTACCTGTCCTGTGTGACCTTGTTGATTTTGGATATAAAAGAGATTCCCAGTGTTTCATTTTCTGGTTGATAGAACCTGTTAAAACTAACTGTATCCGCATGATTGGATTCATGTAGTCTTGATGTTAGTTGTGCCTCTGAAGAGGGAATCAAATCCACCTGTTGTGTTACAGAGTGCAGTATAAAAAATACTCCAGCTAAGAGTTTGTGGTACCACAGTGAACAGGGAACGCTGTATGATGATAAAATGAGTGATCCATCGTCTGACAGACTATGTTGATACCATTTATTTTCTGACAGCATTTGTCCCTGACTGAACAGAATTTGCATAACTACATGTTTATTATTCTTTTTCAGTCCTTTGCTGGACTAATCTATGTATTGTCTGTGTTACAGGTATGCCCCTTCGAAAAGATGGCACATAGACACCATTATGAGAGTCCTGACAACAGTACGTATATTACAAACACTGCAGTGCCTCTGATGCCTTTGATTGTTTAGAGGATTTTCTGTGCTCATAATAATTAAGTATTTTTTTGATTAAGTATTACCTTGTACTGCAAATGATATAATCAAATTTGGTAATAGACCTCCTCAGTCAACACTGCTTTAGTTTTACTGCAAACCTACAAAGGAATACTTAGTTCATTTGCCTTTCTCATTGATATCTCTGCTAATCCTTACAGGCAGGGAGCTATGTGCGAGACGATTCTGTTCCCAACCTAATCCAGCTCATCACCAACAGTGTGGAGATGCATGCCTACACAGTACAGAGGCTTTACAAAGCACTGCTGGATGACATCTCACAGGTCAGAGCACTTCTGGTTTGGATCATGATGTAGGGTATCTTCATCTTTTAAGCATACAGTCACAGATTTGAGAATGTAATGCCGTGCATTACAATACAATCTTTGTGTTTCAAAGTAGCTCAATAGTGCATTAAAGTAAACTTTTGTTTCTGTGTTCTGTAGCAACCACTAGTGCAGGTGGCGTCCTGGTGCATAGGAGAGTACGGGGACCTGCTGGTATCCGGACAGTGTGAGGAGGAGGAGCCCATCCAGGTACACCTGGAAGAATCCCAGCAAAACACCACATGCACATACACACAAACACACAAATTGAAGACCTCAGAGAATCACTAGGTCAACAAATATTTCTTCTATTTGTTTTGAATTAAGGTGACTGAGGATGAAGTTCTGGATGTGCTGGAAGGCCTCCTGGTGTCCAACCTGTCCACACCTGTGACCCGGGGTTATTCCCTCACTGCCATCATGAAGCTATCTACTCGCTTCAGCGGTGTTAAGTGAGTAAATTGCCTTTTTACCCTATACTGTACTTTGAAGCTTTGCAAATGTTTGACTGTCAAAAGTTCTAGCCATAACCAATGCTCCTTTTCCCCTTTACTAACCTGTAACATTTTAAATGTTTTAGCCGAATCAAGAAGGTGGTTTCGATATATGGCAGTAGCATTGATGTGGAGCTTCAACAGAGAGCTGTGGAGTACAATGCGCTTTTCAAGAAATACGACCACATGAGGTGAAAATTACTATTGCATCGTAACAGCCACATTGTACCAGTTAGTAGATGAGGAAAATCATCCAGTGAGAGTCTGCTCAATCTTTTGTCTCCGTCCTTATTTCTTGCTTGTTCCCTGACTATAGGCCAGCTCTCCTAGAGCGAATGCCCATTATGGAGAAAAGCACTACTAATGGCCCCACAGAGATTGTACAGACAAATGGGGAGACAGAGCCCTCTGTTGTGGAGCCAAAACATCCACCACCTGTCACCCAGCCAAACCAGGTGAGGACAGTTTTAATTACTGAGACCTATATAAACAGTTAATACAATATATATATATATATATATATATTTATTTTATTTTTTTTTATTTTTTTTTTTAATGCATGAGAAGAAAATGAAATTTACTTCTGTTGATAATAAATAATTGGGTTTTTATTTTTGTAGTATTATACAAACAATACATTTATAGTTATTTAATATGGTGTACCCAGAGGTATTGGAGGTATTTTATCATGATCGTCTGTTGTCCTTGTCCCCCAGGCTAATGATTTATTAGACCTGCTAGGTGGTAATGATGTGGTGCCAGTAATCCAGACCACGATGTCCACCAAGACTGGCTCACATGGAGGAGAGCTGCTTGATCTGTTGGGTGACCTCTCACTAAGTGGTAGGATGCCCTGTTGAAAGCTCTCTGTTACCCCTTTTAGAGCACAGACCTGGTGTAACCCTTTGTGTGCCACCGGTGTGAATGTGATGTGATGTGGTCTGGTTTTGTCAGAAAAAAAAGTGAACAGAAACCGTGGTGTGTTGGTGTCCCCTATTTTCAGGTGGCCCAGCCCCTGCTCCTGCTCCCTCTGTGCCCACTCCCCAACCCTCTTTCCTCCTGGATGGCCTCTCTTCACAGCCCCTGTTTAATGACATTGCAACTGCAGGTGAGAGTCTGTTCCTCCCCTTGACCTTCCACTCCCAAATATACAGTAGTTTGTGGTATTTGTCCTTATGTATTAAACCACTTGGTCATTAAGTTTTTCTTTTCTTGAAATTACCATGACGCATCTGATATGAATCTCTAAATCTCTTGATGGTCTCCTCCTCTGAAATTCCTCTATAGCTATTCCTCCCATGACGGCATACAACAAGAATGGTCTGAAAATAGACTTCACATTTGAGAGAGCTAATCCCAATCCAAACATCGCGGTCATCACTATCCACGCTTCCAACTCAACAGAAGCAGATATGACAGAGTTTGTTTTTCAGGCTGCAGTACCAAAGGTAAGCAGGCACAAGCTGACACTAATATTAAGTGGCTAAATTGCAATATGTTGTTAAGCATAATATAATGCATAAGAAATTCTGTACAAGTCACTACTTGGGTGTCATGTTTGTTACCAGTATTATTCTCAAAGTTAGACTCAACTACTTAAAAAATGGTAACAGGGAGAGAGTGTAGGCTATTTTGCTGAGAAATGTTGCTGATCACAAGCCTGCTCGGCCTCATAAGAATAACTTAAGTGCCGCTGTGGTCTCTTGTTTCTGTAGCATGGAATTTACATCAAACTGTGTTGGTTTAAATAGGATTCAGGAAATCCTAAAACATTTAAAAAAATAAAAAATTTTAGCATGATTTTTAGGAACTAGGTTTGAATGTTTTAGTTAACTTTCAGCAGGCTATTACAGAACTCCAGTATTCACCAGGTAGCCCAAAGATACTGCCCCTTCACTGCATTACAAGTCCCACGATTTCTACTGGTGCCATCCTGAGTCTGTTTGGCTAGCCAGAAAGAAATGAAATGAAGAAATGTCTGGTGGAGATCTGGCAGAGGTGATGGATCAGGCGAAGAAAACAGAGTTTGAATTACATTCATTTACCTGGGTCACCTGTTTTACAATCACATTATCTAATCGATGAACCTAAAAAGTGCAGTTAAGTCATTATCCATCAATTATGGTCAGCGCCCGATCAATGTGAGCATCCCTATTTTGTACTGCTGTGATGACCCCATTTCTCCATGGGTATCATTAAATTTTCATCTAACATAGTGTCCCCTATTTGTTTGTCAGACATTCCAGCTGCAGCTCCTCTCCCCTAGCAGTAATGTTGTCCCAGCACTCAACCAGGGAACTGTCACACAAGTCATCAGAGTCCTCAATCCACAGAAGGTGAGTTTGTCCTTTACAAATTGTGTTGGATGTGTTTTTTTTGCCATTTGAAGCACAGTTGAGTATACATTCAAGACCTGTGCAGTCTTAAATGATTTCCTCTCTTATAAACATGATCATCCTCACAAAATTTCAGCAACAGCTACGAATGAGGATCAAGCTGACGTACACCCTCAAAGGCTCGCCTGTGCAAGACCTGGCTGAGGTTAATAACTTCCCCCCTCAGTCCTGGCAGTGATGAGCTGCTTCTGTTGCTCTTAAAAGCCCCCCACCAAGGGAACTATGAAAACGATTTTCCTTTCACCTCCCTCCTTTCTTCCAACGGATCCCCCTGTGACGTCACTGCAATCCGCTGCCCTTGAGTTGCATGGGAAGCAGCAGAACATCTAACACAGGAGAAAAATTCAGATGTTACGAAGACTCTACTGACTATTGACATCACCAGAATAATTGGGAAAGCATATCAATCAATGAACTCTCTCTTTTCTTTTCTTAATTGGTTTCCATGATCTCTTTGCGTAGTAGTACTATTTTCCACATACACCTTCCGCCCAGCACCGTTACCACCCACGAAAGCACATATGCACACCATTCACTGTGGTACACTTAACCTCTCAAGTCACTGTAGAGAGAAAAGTGTTGCCCACCACGAGCACTGCAGTAGTTTTATTTTAACTAATAATTAAGCTAAAATGCAGTTGAAACACGTTGCTCCATTGATATTTACGATTGGCTTTGCATTCCGATTTTTTAATATGAACCTTCAGTCCTATGATGGCAGCAGAAAAAGCGTTGAAAGGTCTATTAGGTGAGGTCATAAACTTCCGCCTTTTTGAATCTCCACATCATGAGTGATATAACTTGTCCCAGAGTTGTATTCATTTTGAATTACATTAATTTGCTTAAAGCATGTTTGAGCATTGTTAGGATCACAATCGCACCTTGACTCAAGCTCGGAGGGGACTTTTCTGGTTCTGGTAGTAGGCCTCTTTATCCTATGTTTCTATAGGAAGTAGTCTACATTTGTTTTGTCACAGTGATAAGAGCATAAACAAATCCAAGATGCCCAGTTTGATCACCTGTGGCTCGTTGCAGAGAATGTCCTCAGATTTTCCCACACAGCTCTCCTAAAATCATCTCATCTGAAGCTTTAGTTTTCGATCTGTAAAATAAATTCACTGGTTAATTGCTGTGCGTAGTTTTGACGAGGTTCATTCATTAGGATGGATATAATCCAGGCCTGAAATTTATCTGATGATAAGCTGATTGCATTTGTGTTGGAGATCTGCGTTTAAACTTTTTCTGCATCTGTGTCCTCAGTCTAGCTTGCAATTTAGATACATTTCAGATTTGTTTAACCTGTTGGACTTAGTCACCATGCACATACATGTAAATGAAGCTTGTTATGAATGTAGTTACATGCACTGAATGCTTTTTTCCCCCCCTCAAGTCTTCTTTTTCATGGCTGTTTTCTTTGATGAAGACACTCATCTTATTGGCACTATTTTTGTGAAAGTATGTTTTGTTTCTGCAGTAATTTGACTTAATTATTTATGCCTGATATCAAAGTGATGTGCCTTTCTGACTTAGCTAGATAAAAGCCCCTGAACTATTGAGTTCTATATGAGCTTTGTTTGTAAGTCTGCTTGTGTGCTGATCGTGTTTTCAGTCTGAGGGAAATGGTCCTGTTGGATTTGAATTGGTATGTCACATGATCATCATTTAATTAGTAATTAATTCATTTAAGTTTTACGTTTTCACTTCTGTATCTCATAACAAGTCAATAATCTGTCATCCACTAATATTGGCCTACATGGATGTCCATAGCAATGTCTTAGTTTTGAGAAAAACATAAATTCTAGCCACATGATCTTGATCGTTTCTTTCCCTATAGTGTGTGTGGCGGACTTTCCATTTAAAAATGCCTGTTGGATGTTATTAATAACACGTCCTATAAAACAAAGCAAATCTCAAATATTATGGCAGCTAATAGATGTAAACTTTTCATAAGCTGGCATCAAATGTTTTTAAAAAGTATAAATGTTTTACTAAAGGAGAAATATCATTAAGATTCCCCCCATCAATAAACATTGAAGTGTGAGTTTTGGATCACTTGGTGAGGTACTGGGACGGGTTGTTCTGTGGTGACTGTTAGTAGGATTTTGTTTTTGGCTCTCGTCTTCTCCAAATCAGAATTCTGACCATGCTGTCGGGGGCAGTAACCTTAATACCTCACAATGTTCTCTCTTTCTGTTAACTTTCATTTGCAGTAAATTGACAGCTTTGTTTAGTCATGAATTGCAATCAAGGGGAGCATCTGCATGAGAGAAACTAAGGGTAGTTTGTACATCTCATTACTTAAGCTTAGCAGCCCTGTGATGCTATGTTGAGGTCCTCAGATGTTTAATCAGGCTGTATACTTCTTTTCACTATGCTTCACTATCTTCTAACTTCTGTGACCAAATCAGAGAAACTATTAGCTTTGGAAATATTTTTGAGCTATGATATGTGTATATGGAGAAAATTATTTCAGTTAAACTTTTTTCTGTTGTGGACAAATGCTATATTGGCTTTTTTCTGTACATATTGAGGGCTTTTACAATTTTGTCTCTTGTACTATCTTTCATCCTTTTTTTAGATACCATTTTCTAAAAATTCCAATTATTCACAATGTATATTGTCTAAATAGATCTAGTCAACATCAGTCTTTAAAGACTCCCCTGTATCATTACTCATTCATTGTAAAAGATATATGATCTGCTGCCTGTACATTGTATATAGTTGTAAAACAAACAAAAGCTGATCAAATTAAATAAAACCCACATGAATACTTAAAAGATTAGCTAGGAAGTATAATTGTATGCATATATGTACAAAAAAGAATCTTAAAAGGATGCAATTGAACTGCATTTGATCTACTATTCTTCATACTTTATTCATGATCGGATGTGTCATCTTTACTTCTTTAACAAAGGTAGTTGGAGAGTTGGTAGGCTATCTGTTGGGGTTCCTTTGGATTTTGAATTAGGGGTTGAATCCGTCTTAACAGATGTTGTCTGCAGGATGTACTGTACTACTGAAAAAACCTAAGCACAGTGCTGCACAGCAGCTGAAGTGGCACCTTGCTTCATCTGCTTCCTAGCCCCTCAAACGCTTCATGTTTCCACGCCCTCCTTGGAAGAGGAGCAGGTCTCTTGCCAAGACGTAACTCCTCCTCCTGGCCTTATGTGTGGTTGAGTGTTCTGCACTCTTGAAAATTCCCAACTATTAAACTCTCCTTGAACCTACAAATTGATTCGTGAAATGATGCCCTTGGTCTTGGAGTGTTTGCTCTCATGGTTTCCTGGTTACCTTTTTAAGTCTGCCAGGTAGCATCTTCCTAAAAGCATCGTGTCTCAACAAAGTAGGACCACTACTAGTTTTTCCCTGATTATAGCCAGTGGGTTTAAACTGGAATGGAGTTACATGTGGACAAGAGCTGATAGAAGTTTTCTCCCGTGCTCAGTGGTTCCAGATATGCCTGTTTGAAGCAGCAGTGTCCTTCCCTCGGTCAGAACAGTACAGAGCTTTTGTTTTGGCTTCCTTTCTTTACTTTCATCCCTTATCGCTGACGTTATTTGCCTCTGCATGGCACACCTTTCACTTTCTCTCTGTCGTCTCTGATATGAAAGGTAGGGCTGTAACACATCAAACTCAAACTCTACATGGCAGTTTATAATGGCAGGATATGAGGGAGGATAGCAATGGATTGTTTTCTTCTGTTAGGACCTTTTTTCGTTTTTAGATTTTGATTATGGAGCGCTGCTTTACCAGCCCCAAAACACCTGGCACAAGCCTGTGCTACGAGCTAATAGCCACAAGGGGGAGCTGTGCAAAATGGAAGGCTGACGGGATGGGAAAGGAAGTTTCATACATCTATTCCTGAATGTTTTTGTTGGTGTTGTTTGTATTGTCTTATTCAACCAGTATGTACCCTTGTTAATCACATCTGATCAGTTCTTTCAATGATATCGTAATTCATGCAGTTTTAAATGTACAAATGGAAATGAACCCAACATAAGTGCTTTGGACACTGTAACTTAAAAGGAAGAAAAGATACGGAAACAAATACCCATCAGCGGTGTGATCAGCGTTTGAAGTGATATTAGTGTGTGCGTGCGTGTGTGTGTGAGAGAGAGAGAGCGAGAAAGAGAGGAAATAATCGTTCTTGAGAGAGTGTGGTGTCTGACATGTCTTTTATCTAGATAGGACATGATTTTTGGCTGCAATTTCAACTTTCAGCTTCTGAGCTGCATGTGAAAACCAGTGTAAATAATGTCATTTCTACTCTTGACCTGAGACTTTTTGAAATGCAAGAAAAGTTCAAATTAGAAAATCTTATCACACCACCTTCATGGGTCAGTACTAACATGTACAATAGGAAGTTGTTCAGATAGTGCTCACAATACTGTTAATGTTTTTAAGAGGGTGATGAAAGTGCACATCCGTCATTTGGATAAATTGGACAATTGATTTTTGTTTTGTTTTTATTTGTTAGGGTGAATTCAGTGTGTAAAGGGCTTGGAAAAGCATCTGAATTTACCCCAATGTTCACTGTCCCCGTTGAATCAAAACTTTGCATCCATTGTATTTTGAAAACAAAATCTGTTTGTTACCCCCAGGCCTGTCCTGACTGTAAAACAATATGGTAACTGATTTGTTGGGGGAGGGTGGAGGCATGAGGTTAACATTTTTTCCAGTCAAGTTTGACATGTTGAACTTAGTCCCAGTTCCATGGCTTCAAGGTGAGTGTGAATGTCAGACTGAGAGTATGAGATGATTAAAGATGAGAAGTTGTAAACTATTAAATGGGATATTTTCAATTTATGCTGTGTATTCTTGTCTTTGGGTTGGAGAAAATGATCAAGCGAATAAAAAGTCAAATAAAAATCTAGCTGAACTATGGTAGTTTGTTTTCTTGGTTTGGGGGGCGGGGGGGTGACAGTCTGATGTATTAAAAATGAATTCTGGGCTCATCTGGGAAGACTGAAGAGTTTGGGAAGATCCATAGCATTAATAACAAGAATTTGTAAACCAAATTTTATACCAAAATATGTCTCGGTTCCAGCTATATATATATATATATATATATAAATAAATTAAGTTAATTATGATGTGTGGTATGAATTATTAGTTCGTACCACTTGCCACCCTTCTGTGATTGGGGCCCCCTGAATAACCTGCACCATCATTCACCCCACCAGTGATGCAGCTGATTGTGAGAGTGAAGTAAAATTTGTCAGTATTAAGTCAGAACAATGAGTATATTTCAGTACTACTGACAATACAATGATCATCAGGGAGATTGTCAACAAATAACATGATTTAAAATACATAAATACAGTAAAGCAAGGTGTTATATTTAGTTACATGCACCCTAAAAGTCAATGTCAACAGAAATATTTAAAGGTAAAAGAACTAGATTTTGATTGCAGGAGCCATCTCAGTTTCAGTGTATGTTGTTTGTATTACCAAACAAATGTGCAGTTAATGAAATCACTGTAAAATAATTGCCACTCAGTGAACCATCGGGGCACCTGAGGGTTTGGGGCCCTGGGGCTGGTAGTCCACCCTTTATGGTCCGATATACGGTGTGTACATCTTGCAGAATGAGCAGTGGTGGTATCCTGCAGCTTATATTGGCTGGATTGTGGCCTATGCTGGAGCAAAGTTTAACAAAGGTAAGAAAATACAGCTACAGAAACGTGTCTGAGTTATGTTAATGTTGTCAGTAGGTTAGGTTAGTTGTGTAAATTGTACAGTGAATCTCAAAAAGCTGACTAAACTAATGAATATTAGCCGATAGCTAAAAAACAAATGTATTCTAGCTAATTAGGTAGTTCATTTAACAGCAAAGCCTACAATTAAAGTTCATTAAAGTCTTCTAACAACATTTATTGAGGATTTCTAATAGCCTGTTGAATTTATGGCTTTTATTAATGGTTAATAAATCATGTAGACTACTTCTGCTTTATAGTTCTGTAGCTAGTTTAATTTTGGGTTGCCAGATTGGGAGGCATCCCCTCAGGCAATCGGGTCAATAAATTAATAAAGGTTCAGTTTATCAATTCTAAAAAGCCGTCAAGCCTGAAATTATTTATGTCTCTGTCACATATAATCCAAACAAATCTGTTGTTACAAATGGTCAGCTAGGAAGCCTTATCATAATAATAATAATTATAAATGTTAATGAGTTTCATATCTAGTTGGCAGGGGCTAATACATTGTTAATAAAAGCATATTGGTCCAGATGCTGCACAGCTCTTTATCCATACAGTGAGAGGAAGGTTTACCCGATCAATGAAATAAAAAGGCAAGTGTGATGGAGGAGCATGAGCCTGGCAACAAAACCTGGACAACTGATCAATAAAGCAGTTATAAATAAATCCATAAAGCCAATTTATAGATGTCTTAAAGAGGGTGACTTAGTAAAAAAACAGAATATTATGATATATTAATGTTACAGCTATTGATAGGGTGAAAGATTAAACGCTATCTCATGTATTATTCAAACACAATGTACACACTGAGTATAAGTTGAGCACGGAGACACGCCCTACAGCCAGCGCACGTCGGGGTTTCTCTTCATAAACCGCATCAAGTGGTGAAAGACCTTCCTTATGCCTAATGTAACGGCCTCTCCCCTCAGAAAGGGGCAGCGGCTGATGAATAATAAACACCCTGAACACGCCCATGTAATGTTTATTGATCAGCTCTCCAGCGGGCCTGTCTGACAACAGTCAGATTCAGTGTGGATATGGCGTCGCTGCACCGACACAGGATGAATTTTCACCTCTCCGTGGGAATCTGCCAGTCGCGTACCGGGACCACACTGTCTGCTCTCTGTCGCTGCTTTTAGGGATCGTACATGGCGATGGAGGACGAGGACAACAGCGCAGCGGTCGTGGCGACTAACACCCAAACGGGCATCAAGAAAGGAGGTGATGTCGGAGATAACGGGGCTTGCATAGACAGGCAGCCGGACACGGTGGTCCACCAAGCGGGGCTGAATCAGACTGCAGGTCGCGGCAGCCGCAGTGGTCCCGGAGCTCACGCTGCAACGGGGATCCGAGTGCTAAAGGCAAGTCATACCGAGGGGGCTTATTTTCTTGTGATGCAGTGGACAAAGTGCTCGACAGATATATCTATATTGTGTTACATGTCAAGGGTTTTTTCTCTCCTTACATTGCGGTGGGTGAATCCAACAGGGCAAAGTGCATGAACGCATCCTTGTAAGATTATGTAACACTGTGATACCCAGTGATTGTTATCCTTTGGTTGATGATTGATCTGAGGAGGATTGCCATTAAGTGAGAAATGTACCAGAGCCAATTAACAGCCACAAACCACACACATGCACACGCACGCACGCACACGCACACATACTGTAAGAGCATTTATAGTAAGGCCCATTGGTTAACAGTTTTTATATGACATTTTAGGGCAAGACACATGATGTGTAATGACATACAAGTCCCTAAGGTAGCTGCTTGCAAGGTAGCAACACACACACACACACACATACAATCTCAGCTATGCTGTTCAGTTAATGTATATGCATTGCTCAGTTATTGTATGTGAACACACATCAAAAACATAAATGAAATAGGTCACCCTGTTAATAAGTGCATAATACCTTATGTAAACAGATACTGGCTGTGAAACCATTTACCCATATTTCAGTCAGTGTGAAGGGACAATGCTTACTAGTCTTTTTTTCACTCAACATTAGATAGATAATTAAGTTGTGTGTTTGTTTTTTGATTATCAGTGAGGAAATACACCCTGGTATCTTAATTGAATCAAGGGTCACATCCAAACCCTACCTGCCCGCCTGTCCCTGCTGAAATATGGTAATGTTTGTTGATTTGCTGAAGCACAAGATATAGTTTCTTACAGTTGCATACCGTATCATCATGAGGTCTACAAGGGACCTCCATACCTCAATACAGGTCTACTTCACATTCACACAGTGACACATATCCACATCTCGGAAATGCCCAGCAAATCTGTAGTCTAGACTGACCACTGAGTGACTCCACAGCAGCAAGCAGTGGTTCACTCACACACACCTTGACAGCAGCTGATGAGGAAAAAGGGCTTTCACTGTGGCCACAGTAATTTTCAACAGGTGTGGAATTCCCCTCTCTCTAACCTCTGGAATAATGCTGCTATAGTTATTATTTAGGGAGTGAAAGTGAAAGATTATTCTTAACCCTGGAAAGTTTAACAGAATATTTTTAACTCACTTACTAGCTTGACTGAGCAAAATCTGTTTGGTGGTGAAAACCGTGAAATGCGGTTGACTGAGGCGATTATCTTATAAGAGAAATTGAGTTAAAGTTAATAAATTCAAAGTGTTTGTGAATTGTTCATTAGGAACATAAATTATATATATATAACAAATAATACATTATTTGACCTAAACAATGCTGATTTTCACATTTTAATTTATTATATTAATTATATTATTAAAATACATACATATCAAGTGGAAACCAATGTGAAAGTGGTAAATCATTTTTTCAATATATTTAATATTTCAAACAAAATAGATTCTCTGTTGGATATCAAATATATTGCAGCTGATGGTGAAAGGATTTCCCAATTAATTGATTAGTTTAATTCAAAGATAATTAATTGAAAGCTATTAATTATAAAGTTATTTGCAGTGTGCAGTTATGTGTGATTAAATGTTGCATCATTGTGTGTGTGTGTGTGTGTGTGTGTGTGTGTGTGGTGTGCGTGTGTGTGTGTCGTGTGTTGTGTGTGTGTGTTTTGGTGGGTGGGGGTTGGTTGATTTGTACACTGAACACTCGGTCTGTGGCTCAGCTCTCCCGTCCAGTATCATGCAGCCACTGTACTGTAAGTGGTGGTCCAGCTGACAGTTCCTTTACTCACTGAACATTTTTCAGAGAACCTCTTGGATTTATTTTGAGGTTAGCAAATTGCTCAAAGGCTTATTGATTATTACCACAACTGAATGAGGCGAAGATGACATTTTCAAACAGTATTGAAGACACCTGTAAGACAACTGGGAGCTCTCCAGGCTTTTAAATGTGGTCTATGAATATCTAATTTTATCATTTTAGCACAGCCCTAACAGAACAGACCTTATTAATGTCAAATTTAGATAGTCTAGTGTATCCGTGTATGTATTAGGCTCCTGAATATCACCACAAGTGGTTAAGGCAAGAGCAACAACATGATAGTCTGGTACAGAAAGAAAATAAAATGCAGTCCACACAACCAGGATGAAATCTGTATTGTCGTTAAGCAATCTGATGTCTCCATTGTTGAAATTCTCCAGTTCTTTTTGTACCAGTCTGCTGTCACTGCTTGTTCCCCAAAGCTGTGCATCGGCCCAGTGGACACTTTCACTGATTCAGCATGTTTAATGTTAGCCCCATTGCTATTAGTTTGATAACATTTTATGTTCCAGTACTGATAGCTCTAAAACCACACTTAATGACATTAGATCATTGAGATTGTCAAACTGATAACTACCAGCACAGATGTCGTGTAGAAGAAGTAAGCTCAAAGCACCCCTGGCAGGGTCAAGAGTACATTTCGAACCTCCCTCAAGCTCTTCAGACAGCCCATGACTGTTAGACATGCCAATATGTATCTGATGTCAATCTGTGAGTTAAACGACTCTTTCTGTGTTAGCAGCGCAACATGAAGCGGAATGGGAGCCGTAGCTGTGTAACAAGAAAGACCAGATTTGGATCTCGAGAGCGGGACTGGCTAAAGGGGGACACCCAGCGGGGCTGTGTGTGTCTGTATGGGGGGACAGTGGACCCCCAGCCACCTGCCTCTGGCCCACAGGCCTCCTCCACCCCTCAGACAGACCTGCAGTTGGTGCTCTGCTCCACCAGTACCACAGTGGAGGAGCTGTGC